CTCTCATGAGTCTCAGTCCAAGGGGGAAAAAGAAGCCAAGCACAAGTGTCCCATCAGGACAGAGGCTCAATCTCCAATCAAAGGGGACTTTGTTCCAGCTTTTCCCTTGGACCAGCGTGCAGCAAGCACACCTGGGCCTTATTCAGCTCTCTGTGTGGGCTGGCAGGCAGCTTCTGTTGGGAATTTAAAGCTTTTCCTCTACTTTCCACAGCAAATAACAGACCTCACCCAGCTGCACCAAACCCCAAATTTCACTCTAAGAAGAACCATTTGCATTTTCCTCCATTCCAGCCCTGAAGAAAACAAACTTAACTTGTGGGAGCTGGCAGCACGGTGTCCTCCAAGCCCGTTCATGAGTAGGACAATATTGCAGGGGAAGAGCGGCAAAGCCAAAGTTCACTGATGCTTAGGAAGCTTTGCAAAACCTTCCCACCTGTGCTGGTGTTGCACCCTCCTGAGCTCCTGGAGCCCTCACTCACCTCAGGCGCAGTTTGGACAGCAAGGGGATGGTTCAGTTTGTGCCATGTGGGGACAGGAGGAGGGAAGACTTTGCACACACTGTCACCAGGGCAGGGCTCTTTTCCTTTATGGTGCCACGCGGTAGCACGTAATCTTTGATTTCATGGGAGTGAGGGAGGTGCTGAAGGGCAAAAATTGCCTGTGGGAAGGACATCTTCCACTCACACAGCAAGGCAAGTGAAGGGGAAAGTGCAATCTCTCTTTCCTGGAAGGTGTTCAGCTTTGAACAAACTAGTTTTGCTGAAGATGAGCCCAGGCAGTGGTGAGTTAGAGCATTTGATCAAACTCCCAGAGTATCCTCACATCTGTTTGGACACAATTTCTCTTTGTTTTTTCATGGTGAATGCTTTCTCCTGCCCCGCTGCCTCCTGCTTGGAGTTGTACGCGCAGCAGAGTCCCAGAGTTTTCTCAGCAGGCCTGTGCAGCGAGTTCTGAGCCAACGTGTGGCTCTGCTGCCATCCCAAATCTGCGCTTTCCTTGCCCAGCCTGAGCGCAAGTGGGGCATGTGCTGGGCGTGGCTGGAGATTTTCATCACCAAAATCCTCCAACGTCAGGGCATTTCCATCTGCCCATTGCTTTGGAGAGCACAAATCACAAACCACCCATCTCAGCTGATAAATGTCATTGCTTGCAGATTGCTGCAGCCGCACAGCTGAGCTACAAATACACATGAATCCATTTCAGTTGAAAAATGTCATTTATTACAAATTGCTACACCTGCGCTGACAATACACAACTATAAAAATCTCAATTAAGTTTAAAAAAAGTCATTTATTATATTAGCACAACAATGCCACGTAAAAATATACAAATACCAACTTCAGTTAGCAAAACTTCACTTATTGCTAACCTCTACAAGTCACTACAGACAAAGATCAATGAGGTGTTTAACAACTTAATTTATTACAGATTACTACAAGCTTAGAGCCCACATGGAAATACAAAAATATCAGTGTATCCCTCTAAATAATCCTGTACATAGAATTTGATAGATAGAATTATACAACTATACCACCTCATACATTTTTAAATAGAACTAAATACCTCTAGATATACATATATAACAATCTACAGATAGAAATACAGAATAAATATTATATATTTTATACAATATATATACAGATATATAAAACAAAACTATTTGAAAATATACAAATGTTACTGTCCCAATCTAAATATCCATACAACTGCATTGGTACAAATATACACCTATCCATCTGGATACACATGTCAAAAGAATTCTATTTAGAAATAGATAAACGTACATATAAAAATACATGTATCTTTCTATATAAATACCAATAAACCTATTTAAACAGCCATAGACCTACAACCACATCAATAGAAATTGGTACCTATACAACTCTATACACAGGAAATAGAACTAAAGAGAGTTCTAACACCAAACTTGTATACTTAGCTACATATATGACCATAGATGTAATTACAAATATATATGTACATATATAGACATACCATACATCCATAGATATAACGACAGACGTACAGAAACATTCCTATACAAACAACAACACACATAGGTAAATATTCAAGTAAATATCCCTGTCTATGTGCAAGGCCATCCATCTCTAAGCAGAGCAATCATCAGAGGGATCCCAGCTGCCCCATCTTCAAAGCTTCTCCCTCGGTCTTTTCCTGCCATGCAGAGCAGCTCTCCTGGACAGGGACAGCAGATGGGACATCTGGGAGGCAAAGGGAAGAGCGAGTCAGTGCTGGGACCTTTCCCTTGGCAGCAGCTGCACTTCCAGCAGGGAAGCGAAAATCTCCGAGCCTCCCCAGGAGGGTTGGCAAGAACAAGCAGGCCGAGCGGGCCAGCGTGTGGCGAGCGCAGGCGCGGCGGGACTGTCCCGCAGCCCCCGGCAGCCCGGCACAGCTCCCGGGCCCTGCCGGCACAGCTGCCTTGCCCAAGGACAGCCCCTGTGCCGGCCGGGGCAGCAGCGCTGAGCAGCCCCAGCACGGGCAGGGGCCGCTCCTGCCCGGCCGGGCAGCGCCCACGGCCAAAGCCCACGCCACCCTCAGCCCTGCCCGGCCTCACCAGCCCTGGGGCCTCACCCAGGCTCTCGCGTGGCCCCAGCACATCCCTGCTCACTGCTCTTGCTCCAGGCCTTCAGCTTCTCCCTGCTGGCTCCTCTCAGTGTCTGCCTGTCCTCAAGCTCTTCAGGACAGCTGTGGTGGCAAAAGTGGAGGCTCTGGCAATTGGTTGCAAGGCCTGGCAGAGCTGCAGTCCCTGAGCTCTGTGTGCTCCCTCCTGGCCCCCTCCATCCCCTCAGCCCCGCCGTCCTCTCGGCAAAGCCCCAGCCCCCTCTTCAGTTTCTTGGGCCTCTCCCAGGCCTCTCCCCCCGCTCAGTCCCTTCTGAGCCGTTGTGTCCCCTCAGAGCCGGCACAGCCCTCAGCCCGTGCCTCTGTCACCTCCGTGCCACCATGGCCCTCTGCTCCCCCACAGCCCTCAGTGCCCCTCACACCTCAAGGTTTGCAAGGTCCCTTCAGCATCAGCGCCTCCTCAGCCCCCTCAGTCTCAGCGTCCTTCAGCAGCTCCTCACAGGACAGTGCCTGGGGCCAGCGGCAGCTCCCACTGCTCCAGGGACAGCCAGGGCTGCAACTGCTGCTCCGCCTGG